AGTATTACCTAAGACTAGAATGGTGAAGTATTACCTAAGACTAGAATGGTGAAGTATTACCTAAGACTAGAATGGTGAAGTATTACCTAAGACTAGAATAGTGAGTAACGTTTTACCTTTCTGTGTGTTCTGGTGTCAGGTCGCAATGTGGACAAGATCAAAGAAGATGCCCAGGAGAAAGGTGACCTAGGGATTGTGGCAGAGGTTCGTACACATGTTTTGTGGTGTTCAGTACTGTTTTAAGCCTTTGAGTCCTGACCTCCTGAGGTTACAGTGCCCCTTTTATTTCAATTTCATCAAATGTGTGATATATTATTACTGACATTCATATGATCGTCAGAATCACTTTCCATATTCCACTCAGGGTAGTCCTATTCATTACCAGCATCTAATTCGAGATGGGGGTTTTCTTGTTTTTTTTGGGTTTTTTTGCTTGATTATTTGGTAAGAATTTACTCAGGGTTTTCCAGTGATTTTCATATTCGAACAAAGTGTAGTGTGAGATTTTATTTGTAGTATATGCTTTTTCTGGTAGAGTGCTTCTCATGAAGATCTGGATGTCATCAATAAGGTTCTTTCTTCATTGCTTCGTTTCACAGACAAGTCGCAGTACTCAAAAAATGATGTTTGCTCCTCCAAAATTGACAGTTTCAGCTGTGTTTACAAAGCTGAAGGAGATAGCTTCTATGTCTGGAAATGCTGTGAGTATACATAGAAACAGGTTGTGTTTTAAAGATCGAAGTGGACCTGTCTCTATTCACACTGAAGAATTTCTTTGTATACCTGCATGTATTTTTACGGTCCTGTACAGAGAAGAAAAATTTCCAATAAAGTATTATCTGATCTTGTCAGTTGTCTGCACTATAGTATCTAGAACAAGAATCATGTATTTACTTTAAATTATATATTTTATTTTATGAAAGTTCTGACTTTCCACTCATGAGAACCTTTCTGTATTGTTACAAAGTATTTATTGCTTTTGATTTGACAATCTTTTAGAATGTAATTCATAAACTATTTTTGTTTATTTTAATAAGTTTTGTAGGGAGATTGCTTTCAAAGAAAATGTTTGAAAGGTGGTATTTGTTGTTGAAGAATTTGACTGTGAATGGATTTGTATGGGCACTACATTCTGTCCTGAAATTTCGTATTGCATGTAGAAATTAAAAGGTTTTTTTTTAAAGTTTAGATGTAACATAATTCCCATGCAAGGTCAGTACATTATTTTGCATTGATTTATTCCTGTATGGATGGGGGCATAATAAAGCCCTAGAAAAGTAAATAACTGCTGCGCTGAATTTTTATTTCAATTTCATCAAAGCCTGTAATCTCCTCTCTTTTTTGTTCTATCAAATGTTTCCAGGTCATGGCCAAGAAAATTGAGAAGATCAAGGCAATGTTTGTCGCCTGTCGCCACTCAGAAGCTCGCTATCTGGTCCGTTCCCTGGGAGGCAAACTTCGCATTGGCCTGGCGGAGCAGTCAGTGCTTACTGCCCTTGGTCACGCCGTCTTCCTCACTCCGCCTGGGCAAGGTACGACAAGTGGCTGCTGTCATGTGGTTTGGTCTTTCTTTCATATGAAACCTTAATGGTCATTATCTCTCCATGTTTTCTTTGCATGTTATTTTTCTGAGTTTTAAAGACAAATTGAACATGCTTAACATCAAAATTTGGAATAATAGGTGATTTCCAGCAAAATTTATTTTAAGAAAATTATTAAATTTTTTTTAGGGAATGGGCCATAGTTTGTACATTATAATTGAAGGTTATCAGTATAATCTTAAAGCCTGCTCATTTGCCATCATTTCTATGAAAAAACATACCCTTCTGTCTTGAATAGAAGTCAAGATATTTGCAATTGAAGAAGGTCGGGGTTGCCTTGTTTCAGAAGTAAAATAAGTGAGAAAATAGCAACCAAAATCTGGTGATTTTCAAAGCTTGAGAGTTCTTTGAAACGGAAACGTTACATTTTTGTGCCTTTAATCATTTTACAGTAAAAATCTACACAGAAATGTGTTTTTAAATGGATGTAAAAGGTGTTGAGCTTAAAAAAAGGGGGGAAAATCTATGAAAATTGCCAAAGCGGCTGAAAAATGCTCTTCTTTTTTTTCTTTTTTTTTTTCTTTTTTTTTTTTCTTCTTTTTTTTGACGAGCGCCTGATTTCACCATGATGCCTCACAATTGTCATGTCTCTCTGCAGAATTTCCTCCTCCTGTGGTGGATGCAGGGAAAGGTCTGGGTGCGGATGCCCTGAAAAAGAAATTAGAGGAAGCGGCTCTCATAGTTAAGACCACCTACTGGTGAGGGTGATGTGTGGTTTTTGCTTCGTCTTTTTGCCCATTATCTTGTTTTTGATGCATTTGTCTGTCTCTGATCTGTGTGTGACTACTGGCCGTTTCGTTTTCTCTCTGTACTTTCTGTGTGGTTGTCCTACTTTTTTCCCTTGCACTAAATGACCACTATTGTGTTGTTGTTCTTTCCTGGAATTTCCTGGAGGTGTCTTTTCTGACTCAGAGGTTGACATGTAATAACCCTTCATCCTTCACGGTCGCGAGCTGCCGTTGCACATTCGGCTATACCCACGCCAGTCCTCCATGTTTTTATGTTGTCTGTCCAAGTTATTCTTTATCTTCCCCTGGCTCTGTTGCCCCACATCCTTCTTTCAAGCGCCTCTTTCATAATGTTCTCGTAATCAAACTGGTATCATTGTATGTTTTTTCAGAATCATTATTTCCTTAATGTTTCTTGTGAAATGGGATTTATTTCTCCTGACCTACTTTAATAAATTCCAAATCAGTATGTTACATATGTTTTTTAAAGCGCTTAGAGCTTGCTGTCGAGCGGGGATATGCACTATACAAATCATCATCATCAATGCCTTTTACCCCTGGCAGGGTGTAGGCCACATACAAACCCCTTCCATTTATCTCTGTCCTGGGCCATCCTTAAAGCTATTTATTTATTACTGTTTTTCTGATGGCAATGCTCTCGGTGACCTGTCTTGAATTCAGGTAATGAAATGAAGTTGGCTGAGTGTATGTGGTTTCAGGAGCATAAAATACCATTTAATTTGAATTTTTAGTATAATGAACACCTTTCATGAAATGATTGTTATTGCTCTCAGTCATTTTTAAACATTCTTGTAATTAAACAACAGCTAACTGTTTGTTGAGAAATGTCTTGAGCCAGTAAGGTGAGACCTTCAATCAATGTCTTGATTCAGGATGTTGATCATAGCGACTTTGCACAACACATACAGATGTTCCTTTGTCTTTTCCCTTCCCGACAGTGAGCTTCCCAGTTATGATTCCATAATTTCTGTCTTGTTGGAGCACGGATTGCACGAGTTACGATCACACTGCAAGCTAACTCCAGGTATGGAATCTAAATAAATTGCTGTATGGCAAGACGCTATAGGGGAGGGAAGAACCCCCCGGGGCGGTGGTACTGACAGAAGTGTCTTAGGCCTTGGGGGGGGGAAGGACATTAACCATGTTGTTATGCAGGTAGAATTGTAATTGTAAATGGGCTGATTCATCTATGTCATGCTCATAACTGTGCCTGAAATGCAACAGGGAACTGCTGCTTTTTCTTTCCTAATCCTTACTATTGTCATTTTTCCTCTACTTCTTTTGTATGTTTGTCACACTCTTGTGACCTGCTATTTCCGGGGTGCCTTGATAGTCGAAGCAGACTTTATGCTGTTAAAGCTAGAGAGGTGAGCAGAGTATGCCTGATTCCCTGTAAGAACTTCTCTGTCGACATCCACCCCTTGGTGCTCATATGACCTTATGCAGCCGCGAGTGCCGTATTGATGGGTACTTTCTTGTGATCAGCTCATACTTTAAAAACATTCATTATCATCCTATATGGGGGTAAAATAAAATTATTTCTCATGGAGCTTACTTCACTGTCACTTGCTCAGAAATTTGTTTTAGACAAATCACTATATAATTTTTAAATCATTCTGTGTTGGTATGCAATTTTGTTACACGTTGTATATACTCCCTCGTTGCTGATTTTGCTCATAATTTTCCAAATAGGATATTCTTGTTTGAAATTTTTTTTGGGGGAAATTCAAGTGCAGTTAAAGCTTAGAGGTAAGGTTATTCAGACAAATGCCTGACATTTATATATAATTTTGGAAAGTTTTCTTGCTTTCTTTCTTCCGTCCAGTTTCATTGATCAATTGTGGGTGGTTGGCGGGTGCTCTGGTGTGGTTTGCTCCTTCTGTTCTATCAAACATCTTTCCTCCTTATCTCTCCTTCTTTTTTGTGTATGTTACTCTTTTGTAACACATCTATTCTTCAGCTCGTGTATGACCTTATTGTGTTGCAAGTGCCGTAAAACTCTTAGTAAAAAACTAAAAAACTTGATCATTTGTTCTTTTCAGGAATCCCCCTGAAACCAATGTTGGCCCACCCAACCAAAGGTGTGAGTGAAGTGCTGAAGCGCTTCGAGAATATGGAGTTTACTTGCGAGTACAAGTATGATGGGGAACGTGCTCAGGTGAGTTTCTTTGGAGACTGCTGAGAATATCATTGAAGGAAAAGAAATCAAATGAGGTAGTATTTGATGAAGCCCACGTGGGATGTTAAAAACAATCAGGAAACAACAAATGCAGTTTTTGGGACACCTGAATAGACATAAAGGTCTTGTACACCTAGCTCTCAGTGGCAAGATTGAAGTCAAATGAGGCAGGGGTAGGCCCAGAGCGACCTACTTAGGGAACCTAGACAAATGGGTAACGGAGAAAGATCAGGGTAACGTAGCTTTTTTAAGAGCTTCCGAGCAAAGGAATGAATGGAGAACCATGTTCGCCGATGTCTGCTGCAGATTTGGCACTTGAAGAGGACGATGATGATTATTAGCCAGAAAAAAAGCATACTGGTGTCAGGTGTAGTGGCTAGGTACTTTGCTGTTACACACGAGGCTCTGGAGTTTGATTCCCGAGTGGGGAGAAAATTTTCTTTGAATATCTCAGCCATTGCTGAGATATTGTATCCCCCTCAGCCTGGGTTAGCCCTGACAGGCAATGTCAAAAGCCCACCTCTGAAATAATTTACATAGTTTCGATTGGGGTGTAAAAACTCATACATTTTCTTAAAAAAATAAGAAAGTCATTTGTGGGTGATGGTTACTTCTGTATTACCTAAGAGGATTTCTGCGGTTGTGTGCTCTCTTTGGCATGCTGATCCCGACTTTTAAGTAGCAAAGCTGATCCCGATAGTCACCGCTTGTTGCAAACGGGTCCCCGCATGCAGTGCTATCACGTATGGGTGCTAGGAACTGGTTTACAAGGGGGTACCCTCTTTGAGCTTCGATTTTGATATAAAGATTACGTCATAGAGTCTTCAAACATGGCAAACAATCAGAGAAGAGGTGGAACTAAAGATCTCACTCTATTCAGTCCAAGTCAACACAAAATTCAGGGTTTGCCGCTTATTAAAAGTAGAGTTTTTTCCCACCATGAACATCGAGGAGATTTTGAAACCATTCAAGGTGTCTAACAAATAAGTAGAACTTTTTTTTTTGCATAGCCCATTTTAACATGTGGGTTGGAAAGCAGTTCAAATTTGATTCAAATTCACCATCGTTTCAAATTAGGGGCCTTCTGTGCAGCTCTCTTCGCCAGCCGCGGGTGGGAACCTCCGATTTTCGATAAATTCCATGTCACGTGACTAGACTTCTTCATCTCATTGAATATGAATGTGAGAGAATCCTGCGCGGACCGGGAAATCCTGTTTCACGTTGCGATTACGTTCGTGCTCTCATACACTTAAAAAAAAAAAACGTAGGCGTAACTAAAACTTGAAAATTAGGTACGGAAGCAGGGTTGTCGGAGGATTTGATTAAAAATTTTCAAACTCAGGTTGTGAAAACATGTACTTTAAAAAAAAAGCCATAATCAGTGTGTCTTTTTGGTTTGTTTCAGATCCATGTTTTAGAGGATGGAAAAATCTGCATTTACAGTCGCAACTCAGAGGACAACACCAGCAAGTATCCAGACATTATCCGGCGGATGCCGAAAATGTTGGGAGCAGATGTTAAGTCCTGTGTGCTGGACGCGGAAGCCGTTGCTTGGGATGTTGAGCGGAAACAGATTCTACCATTTCAGGTGTTGAGCACACGGAAACGAAAGGTGAGAGCCTCTGGTGCAGCGCTGCAACGTTTACGGAAAGCAGATATGAAGGTTCAGTTTCTAAGCATTTGGGGGGGGGTCTTGTTTATGTTCAGGATTTTAAAGATACCAAGTGAAAAAATCTAAGTTTAAAAAAAAAAAATGAGCTGGGAATTCTGAATCTAACAATCTTTTTTGATAGGATCAAACATAGTAGGAGGAGAGTCTTTAAAATTCCTCAAGCTATCCAGGGTAAAAAAATACCCCATTCAGGATTCAAATGTGGGTCATTCTCACCATAGCACGATATGGTACCAACTGCACTAACGGAGCTCTTTGGTCCACCTTTTTCTGATCTAGACATTTCCTGACAGTGCTGCCTGAAATGGTGTGTTGTTAAGAAATCTATAGATCACATTATCATTAATGACCATAATGTAAGGAAGAAGCACATGTAAATTTCAGAATAGTCCTCAGAAACTGCGGGTTGTTTCAGCACGTGAGACTTGTATTTACTAATGTCCTGTCTTGTTGTGCCTATACGTGAGTGCACCTAACCTTTGTAACATTCTCTACCATTGTAAGAGACCAAGACAAATTTCTCCCTGTGAGATGAATAAAGATTGTTGTTGTCAAAATCTTTTCTGTTTTGTGAACATTGCCGGCCATAGCTCTGGCTTGTCTTAACTCCCAACTATATATCATAGCAGTGGTGGAAATTTCATTGACTTTATTTCTTTGTCCCCATCAGGATGCTGACGAGTCTCAAATCAAAGTGCAGGTCTGTGTGTATGCGTTCGACTTGCTCTATTTGAATGGTGAAGCCCTCGTGGACCAACCATTTAGGAAGAGACGGGAGCTGCTGAGGTCTTCCTTCACAGAAGTCGAGGGAGAGTTTGTGTTTGCCAAGTGTATGATATCGTCCAACACAGAGGAGATTGAAGGTTTCCTGGAGGAATCTGTTAAAGGTGAAAAGAATTTTAGCAAAATTGTGATACATTAAAAGTATAGGTCATAAAGTGTTTCAATTTTGTCAAGTCTGTTATTGTCTCTTTCTCTCAGATATGTAATGAAATTTGAGCAGCGTTTTTAGTGCATTCTAATCATTAATCTCATCTGCCTGCCCTTAGGATGCTACATTGGCAACGATTACGTAGTCGAAGACTCTTTCAGTTTGTATCTGAACTCTATTCCCACACTCTAGGAATCTTATGTCCTTATTAATCTCTGCATTCCAGAAATTCCTGATGTCCATATATGACTTTATCTCTTGTAAGACACTTTGCTGGTACTGTCATATTGGTACAGTTAAACCTGTCCAAGACAACCGTCCTTTGTTGATGAGAAAAGTGGTTATCTTAGACAAACAAGGGGGGATTTTGGAAGTGGGAAGTGGTTGTTTGTACAGGTGGTTGTCTTTGACGGGCAGTCGTAAGAGCAGGGTGGACTGCATTTTTGTTTTGGGGGGGAGGGGGTGTGTTCTTGTTTTTGTTTTGTTTTGTTTTTTTGTGGTTTTTTGTTTTTTGGACTTCATTTGTAATTTCCTATGCTTTGTGTATTTTCTAGGGAATTGTGAAGGCTTGATGGTGAAGACTTTGGACGTTGATGCTACGTATGAAATTGCCAAGCGTTCTCACAACTGGCTGAAGGTAAGGTTCCGTTATTCATGTTACTACATAGAATAGTTCAGTTATCTCTCTCACACATGTTCACGAATGCCAAAGTTTTGTTGTCTCCCTGTGGTAGACTTGTGTGATTACATCTGGTCTACTCAGCCTGCTTATTGCTTATTTGTTTGAGTTGGAGATCAAATGTTTGACCAGGTAAAATTAGGTCATTTAGAAAACTGGCCCAGTTCATGGAGTTTCAGGGATCTCTCTTTTCCTTAAAAAATGTTGGCTCTTTTTCGCCCAAATTACATTGCGTTGCATAGTTGGCCTATTTCAAAAAAACATTTTTCGCATTTATATATGAAAGCATATTTGCAAATTGGATTGACTTTCCATTCTTTAAAGTGATACTGTTTGGCTTAGATGTTAAGCATGTTTGTCATGTTACAAAATTTTTTTTTTTACCTGTGTTGAGACCTGAACCGATTTAATGGCAAGCAGTACTAAATGCCTTTCAGCAACTTTCTGATGAGAATTTTTTTCTAATTTTAAAGGCTTTACTTTTTCTACTATATCCTCTAATTGTAAATTTTCTACTTTTTCTACTAGCTGAAAAAAGACTACCTGGAAGGCGTTGGTGATACCCTCGATGTGGTGGTCATTGGCGGTTATTTGGGGACCGGGAAAAGGACGGGCAAATATGGAGGTTTCTTGTTGGCCTGTTATGACGATGAGAACGAGGAATACCAGTCAATTTGCAAGGTGAGGTGTTGCTGTGGACAATGAGACTTGAAGATGATTAATTTTTGTAGAATGGTAGCTGGCGTGTTAATGGTCTTTGGCTCAAACTGTCGAAATTAAAAATTGTGCCCTTAACCCTCCTAGCGTCGACGTTCCCCAAGCTTCATGTTAATCAACTTTTACTTTTACTTTTCCGATCCAGAAGCCATTTGAGTTTTAGCCCTTCGGCCTGTCGATATGACAAAGAATCTTGTTAACCGTATCCGTATGTCATGTTTTACTATTGTATCCATATGACGTGGGGAACTGTGTGCCACCACTTTGCAAAGAGGAAATTTACTTGTTAATCCGTTCCGTATGCTTTGCATAGTGGTATGTCAAAATGATTTTTTGAGAAATGCTGAAAGTTTCAAAGAGATTTTCATACTAGAAGTATTCTAAAATGTGAAGAAAACAACCACAGGGGTACAAAATGACCCCATGGCATACGGATAGGGTTAATCAACAAAATTAATCCGTTCCATCTTCTGTCCAGATTGGTACTGGGTTCTCGGATGACGACCTGGAGAAGCACCACACCTTCTTCAAAGACAACGTGACGCCCGCCCCCAAGTCCTACTACGCCTGGGACTCGGCCCATGAGCCGGACCACTGGTTTGAGCCTGTGCAGGTGTGGGAGATCAAAGCTGCCGACTTGTCCATCTCGCCCACTCACAAAGCAGCTATGGGACTAGTGAGTACTCTTAAAAGTTTATAGTAAGAGGTTTACGGCACTCACAACTACATATGTGAGGTGTGCTGACATGATGAGTTACTTCTCGCAAGCCATGAATGGAGATATGGGCTGAAAAATCAACACTGGGGTCAAATTTGTAAGTTTAACATGTCTTTCATTATTTCAGACTTATAAACTATTCAAACTCCACCTATCAGTTTGACATTTTTATTTCCATTGGGCTAAAATTCGATAAGTAACTCTCTCATTTTTTCAGCACGTCTCACATATGGTCATATGAGCAAGTTGTTAGTGCCCTTCACTCCTGTTTTTTGTTTATTTTTGTCTCTACTGTTTGGTGACAGTACTCAGCTTCAGTGAGAGGTTCCAGTCCAAGGGGCTTCTGAATTCTTCAGAGCCTCCCTGAAATATTTATTGTGTTCAAAGTATGGTTTGAGTATATATTTTTGAAAATGATGTAACTAAAAGTAAAATGATGTATGTGCACTGATTCTTAGTTTTTGACCTAGAAGAAACAAGGTTCCTTTATCCTCTCTGGACATCATTTTCTCCTGGTGGTCATCATGGCAGGTTTGATAGAACGGGTGTGTGTGTGTGTGTGTGTGTGTGTGTGTGTGTGTGTGTGTGTGTGTGTGTGTGTGTTTTGCTAACGGGCGAGAGTTTATCTACTCTTGAGTAATTTGGTCCGTAAGAACAGAATGAGGGAAGGGAGAGCGAGCAGACAGGGGCGTGGGTGGGCCTGACATGCACGTACCCCGGGCCACACAGACTGACAGACGGACGGACGGACAGACAGGCAGACAAATAGACAGACATACATACATACATACATACAGACAGACAGACAGTAAGATAGACGGACGGATAGACGGTCGGACGGACGGACAGACAGACAAACAGACAGACAGACATACAGACAGACAGCATTCCTTGTAGCAGGTGGTGGTGTCGGGGTGTGTGTGTGTGTGTGTGTGTGTGTGTGC